GGTCGTCACGGGAGAGTCTTTCAAGCAAGGAATCTACGGATGCGAATCGAGCATACCTGCTACATATCGCCTCCCATTTGGCTACAACATCTTCTCCTGCTGCGAGATGGTCGCGAAGAATTATGCGAAAGTTTTCAAGCTCGTTTTCCAAGTTTTTCTCTTCAAAATCAGCCTCACGGGAGTCTTGAATCACAAAGGTATCCGTTAGCGCTTTGCCGCTCATGACGCACATCTAGTATGAAGACGACCCGCATGAAGCATACCTGTCTTTTGAGTTTTCCGCAAATTATCGGTGCCATTCTGCCCAGACCGTGTTTGGATGTTCGGTCGAATGGCACGTAGTTTCGGCGCCGTCGGTGCCTTGTTCGAACTTCGCGTTTGAGGCATCTTGAGAGGCTGCGTGGTGAATGAATGATGGGCAGGGTTGATGAACCAGAGTCGCAGTCGTTTGAGTTTCAGCGAATAAATCCTTCCTAATTATGGGATGAAACAAGCGAATCCCGTTGGGAGAGCCTCTGTGAAGCCCCCGGCAAAGATGATGACTGAAAGTCAAACCTTAGCTGTGAAGGTTGGTGTGAATGGTCTGAGATTGGAAGGATGCACGGACTGCCCTCAGCTGGTGATGACGAGCACCGTTCCGGCTCTTGCATCACGTGAGTCTGGTGTGCCACCTTAGTGAGCAGCTTTCTCTCATGTGCCACAGCCATCTGGTCCACGTCGGAGCCGAAGAGTTTTTAGCTCAGATGAAACTTTCGACGGGCCAGAGTCCCATGATTGGGCGGGCACTTGGGAAAATGAGAAGCGAAATGAGATGATGAAGCCTTAGGTACTGGAATATTGTCGCACACTGGTCGGAGGTGGTGTTGGTGGATGTGTCCAGATCGACGGTTTCTAGGAATTGGCCTTGACGGCGAGCCAATGCGGGAACGAAGATTGACGCAGTGTTCTTCGCTGCACAGCTTTCGCGAACTACCTACCAATCGGACATTGTGCAGACTATCGCGTCAAGACACTCAGTGCAGCTTAGTCCTCCGCCCTGGTCTGGTCTACCTACTCACCGAGACACCTCTCTGATTAGGTAAGGTAGGTAGGCATCATGAGATTCCTCCCGATATCAGCGCCAAAATCGGGAGGGATCTATTGCACATCGCTATATCTACAGAAGGTACCTCCCGATTTTAGCGCTGAGATCGGGGGGTATCCACTAACCCCACTGGGGTGGCCCATGCACATGCACCTGGCCATCCGGGAAAAAGCTGCCGTCTCCGCCCTTCCCCAACTTCCCGTCCTCAACCTCTCCCCGAGAAGCAGCTGTCAAGGTCTCCGACATCAAGGTGTGCGACATCAAGGTCTCTAGAACCACGGCCATCCATTCACATAGTGGTCTGCTTCACTGATACCAGTGATGTGACTGGCCAGCCTTAGGATACCGCTGGTATCGTAAGGGCAGGCCAATCAGAGAGACGATTCACCCTAAGGATACCGTCAGTATCGTAAGGGCAGCAGGCCAATCACAGACACGATTCACCCTTAGGATACCGTCGGTATCATAAGGGCAGGCCAGTCAGAGGGTAGTGCACCAGCGGAAAGTGCGAGCCTGGAACCGAAACGTCGACATGATGGAAGCGGACTGGCCACCAGAAGCACAACCCTTGGCCGTCTCTGCAGACAGCCGCACGGGAATGATGCGCGGTCGGGACCCTGTTGTCGGTTGCCGCGGCGGTCATCCGTCGTCTCCATTTCCTTTGAGCGAGACTGAGGGCCTTAGGGGTCGTCACCTCTGGGATTCCCAACATGGCGCAAGATATGGTGCAGGCCTGCGTCAATGCACCACACGATGCGCTGAATGCCAAACCGCCATGGTGCTGCTGAACGCCGGCGTGACCGCTGCGGCTCTCACATAATGTCTCCCTGTCAGGCAGAGAAGCAATGGGCCAGTGTCGTTGCTTTTTTTGGGCTCCGTGGTGCCTGTCTCGTCACATCCCCAGGAAATAGTGTGCCTCCGGACATAGTGAGTCGGGTGGCGTTATCCATGCACATACGACCATACCCACTGGAGAACTCGGGATCCCGTCCGCTCTCCCATAGATAAGCCAGTGAGGGCTGGAGTAGTAGTCGGGTCGGTGACGACCGGCGAATGCCCGGTGTTGTATGTCTTTTTGCGCTTTTTGGGAAGCTGTGATGAATGAATGTTCTTCACGTTTGCTGGAGATCTCCCACAAGCTTGTCGTCGTCACCCAGAGAGAGCCATGGCATCGGGGACCTGGGGTCCTTCGGAATGGCTCGTCGCGTTTGATGACATTTGTCACCAATCTGGTACTTCCGGACTTTCAGGCTACATCATTCAATGGCGTCTTGAAGTTGTACTGCCCCCGTCTTCTACCGACGTCGATACCACACGCGACAACATTGACGCAGATGTCGCAGTGCGGCCAGGTAGGTCATCCAGTCAGTCACTGCGATGCGACTCCCTTGTCACTTGCGTTGCTGCCCGGCAGGTGTCCAGCCAAGCCACGATGTGCTGCGCTATCTCGATGCAGGCTGGAATATTGCACAGCGGACACTTCAAAAATGTTGTCGATGCATCCCGTCGGGCAAGGCGTGTGAGAATGGATTGATCTAGTGGGACGACGATCTTCAGTGGTCTGCTCAAGTGGTATGTGCGACTCACACTGGGCGACCCCGGTGAGGTGTGTGGAGGGATCCACTTTCATCGCTGGCAAATGCCCGAAAGTGGAGCCTTCTCGGTGAGGCCATCCAGCCAGAGAAGCTTGCTCCAGGGCCAGCCAACCTCGTCGGATCAATCATCTCACCTGCCATCTACGGCACCGCTTGGCAAAAGTCAGAAAGCACTTACGAACGCATACCTTCCTGCTGCAATTCGGAAGTCCAAAAAAAATCATCGCAGGAACCACACACTCCCCTGCCGACGTGGCTTGCAGAAGGCGTCAGCTCCCGATTTAGTTAGGGCTCCATACCTCGAGGCCGTGGTACGGACAACTGCAGAATGTCGACCGAATCATTGGCTAACTCACTACTCCAGGCGCGGAACATGCTCGCAAATTATTCCCGGCACGAAACATCACGAGCAGACACCTGATTTCAGGAAACACCATCACAGCCCATGACACAGCGAGCAGTGGTCTGCGGCCAATCATCATTACTTCTTACGCCAGCGAGAGCGGCTGCCAAGTCACACAGATGATTTCCTCCGCAAGCTTTCGTTCTGCCTACGCCCCGCATCCCGTCTTTCTCTCATTCACATCTCCTTCGGATCTCTTTCGGCCCCCCGCCACCATCACTGTCAGCGCGCGGCATTCCATCCAACTCGTTCAATCCTGGCGCCTTTTCTGACTTGATTTCCCAATTGCCCGACTCGCCGTCCGCGCGAGACAGGAGGTTGGCGTCGTGCACACTCCACTACGTTGCCTACGTCGGCAGGTCTGCCCCGGCCACCAGTCGACCTTGGTGCCCGCGTCTTCGACATCTCTCGAATCAAGCCCGCGCGAGACAGCATTGAAGACGCGCATCAACGTGTCGGCCCCCCGGCCTCTATGGACCCGGTGGCGTGAGGACGAATCCCTTGTGTATTCCGATCGACCGACAGAATCGTGCCCGCATCGCTGGGCACCCAGACAAACTCGATCAAGGGTCTGCGTACCTTCACCTCTTGCTGCATCCAGGGAACCACCACGATCATTGCCGAAAGCGGGATCACGACATGGCCTCGTGTTGGGATCTGGGGGTCTGCGAGTATTCATCACGCATCGCAGCCTGCCTCGGCGACGATGTGACAGGGAGCTAATGGGAAGTCGAGGTCTGTGTCAGTGGTTGGGAAGGGTCCGGCGCGATGGAGACTTGCGGCGTGGTCGTGGATGAACGACGACACGGATTGTCGACGTGCGAACTCGAGATGCAGCGCGGACACGTTTAACACTGTCAGGTAATGTCCTTGTAAATGCCGAAGACTGACCTTTGCTTGGAGAGGGCACAGCAACCGCGATAGAACAAGTCGCTTTGAGCGACGTCGAGGTCGGGGCTGCCGATGGGCCTGATCCTCCTAAGAGCTTTAGGGAGATTGGCGAGACGTGAAGGCGATTTCCGAACGAGAGCTGATCGGACAGGGTCCTGGACTCCTAGTCGGGTTTCTTTGATTGTGTGTTCTAGACAGGTAAGCGGCAACGTTTTCCAAGGCAGCATTACGTTGACTTGCAGGTCAGGGGCAACGTCCACAACCAGCTCCAAGTGGAAGTTCAAGATCGGCGGGGTCAGCTCCAGATCCAGGAACAAGTTCCAGAGAATAGCGAGCCCAGAGAGACAGACAAAAAGCCAGCCGACTTTTTTTTTTCTGCGAGTCCATAAGGAGAGGCGTCGGTTCCGTGTGTGCGAAGCTTCTATAACGCGGGCTCAAGCTCATTCGTCGGGCAGCCAGGGCCAATCCGCGGTGTTGCCGGTATCATTAAAGAAAGCGGCGGCCTGCAGCAGTTAGAAAGATGGGAAACAGAACGCTTGGAACCTCACAGACACAGCTTTTATACCAGACAATTCATCGAGTACTTGGAGCACGGAAGGCTCAGAGGACTTTTGGTAAATGGATCCAGACGGAGTGGTTGAAGGTAAAAGGAGGGGATCGGAGATCGAAGCCAGTAAGCCGCAGCAGGGAGAAAGAAACGCTGAAGTGGTGCATCTGAATCTATCACTCCAGCTACTCGGCCTCCTCAGTTTCTAATGAGAAGCTTTACGGATGAGGAATGTGTTCCCGTTCGACCAGAGAGAGAGGTTCGCTTACCATCTCTGTTTGAAGCCGAACCAAGGAGATTCAACTGGAAGGGACGCATTTTGGGGGACTGTTGATAGAAAGGCCGTTTCAGTACTCGGCCGTTGCCCTTACAGCGGCGCGAACTTCTCGTGTCCGTCCCAGAGGCTGATGAGGAGCGATCTCTCGCCAACCCACGGCGAACGCGCGTGCTGCTCTCAGTTGTCAGCCGATTGAAGCCGATCTAAGAAACATCAGTCCTGCGGAACGCTACCTGAACCGTGTAATTATCCAGCAGCGCGACATCGCCTTTTTCCCACGGAACCAAAAACTGAATCTCGTCGCCAATCTCGAGTAGTCGCTCCAGATACTCGGGCGGAATCTCGCTGTCGTCGCCGTACGTCGTCGGCAGGTGATATCGCCCATCGGGCCCGCGATGCGGCGGATCGAGAGCCTGCTGGTCGCGCATGCGGCCAAAGACGCCCGCCAGGCCGTTGAAGTATGTGAGCTTGCCCGTCGAGGCGACCCTGCGGATGGCGGGCACCCTGGAGAGAACGACGAGCGAGCCGTCGCGTTGCCACTCGCCCTCGACATGGAGACGGTCAGCGAGGAACCTTTCGACTTTGGCGCGTTGGACCTCGAGCGTGTCGCCCTCTTTGATTTCGTGACCATACGAATCCTATGAATTTGTGTGAGTTGTTCAGCTGTAGATCACGTCCGAACAGGTGCGACTTGCCTTCCAGTTCCAGCCGACTCTCTTCCAGTCAGGGTCATCTTTTGATGGGTAGTATTGACGCCCGATGACACCTGGGCGAGAGTATTAGCCGCGCCAAGTCATGGAATGCCCTTGTATGTTCTGTTTTCACCTTTTTTCTCCAAGTCTCTGATAAAGTCTGGCCACTCTTTCTCAAGTATGTCATACAACTCCAGTGAAGACAACAATGGAGTCTGGCCGCCTAATAACCTTGTTAGATCCCGAGAAGCAGCATACTGTGTGTAGGGGATTGACACATACCTTGTTGAGGGACCTTCTCTGAGAAGAAGAACAGCACACCCGGGAAGTTTGCAGACCGGCCATACTCATTGTGGAAATAGAACCGGGCGGTTGGAGGTTCTTCGTTGGCCGTCTTGACCGTCTCTGAGATGGTGGTTCGCTTCCCAGAGAGACCGATTTCCCGGTGAAGGTTGGGCAGGCCGAAGGCGTGCACGAACTTTGAAAAGTCGCCCGCGTCTTTCAACGGAAAGCCGCGGAAGAGAATCGCGCCGTCTACGGGTATCAGCTCATATGCATGATTGAATCGAGCACTGGGGAGACCAACGGTCTGTTAGGAGTTTGTTGACGATGTTCTTGTCCGCCAAAGCCTTCAAGTGGGAGATGGCGTCATCAATGTCAATGAATGACTGCCCTTTCTTGACCCGAATCCCAAGAGGAAAGTCCTGGCCGTGTACTGTGCGGCTTCCGGGAATGCTGAAGATCTCCACCCGGTCTTCCATGCCCGGAAGCTCTGGGCCGGTCGCGTCGGGGGCTGTCGTAGGCATGTTTAAATCTTGCAATCAAAGACTCCGGCAAGAGCAAAGAGAGAGACAGAGACAGAAGTTGCCGTGATGTTAGCGAAATTCAGGACAACGAGACTTAATCACTTCCAGCGAAGATTAGACCTGACCTTTCATCTTGCCTTTTGCCTCAACAGAGAGACGGGCTGCACAATACTAACACAGCTTCGATCCATCACAAGCCGACGGGATAAAACGACATTGCTTCCCTCATGGCATCATTGCCAGAACATACGACGTCGCAGAGATAAGCAGGGCCCGATGGGATCCCGGCCGGCTAAGTTCTTACCCTGGCCACTCAGAAGTCATGCACCGCCGGTGGCGTCATTCTCCGGCCGAGTTATGACATGGCTTCATATTTTGCCATACACGGAAGTATCACGGAAGTATTCTGGCCTCTGATTAGACGCCGACCTCACAGGACCCGTTAATTCCCCGACTTGTTAGCTCGCATATTCGGGTCATGAGTATGAGAGTGCGAGACGGACATTTTCCGTGACATGGGTTGATTTTTGGAAAGCAAGCGACGCCGAAATACGGAGGCTCTGATGGACGTTAAATGCCAGGAACTCATTGTAGAGGCTGTCCTGTGCAGACAGCTCAATACAGTTTTCTGTGCAAGCTTTTCATTTGAGAAGAATTTGGCTGCAATGGCGCCCGTATCGCTAGAAGACAACGTGCCTTCAAAGGGAAGAGAGTTGACAACTCGTATCGTTCCCGCCATCGAGGAAGAGCGGAAAACGACGTGGCGGCATTTCTTCTGGGATGCGTGGGACAAGACGCCCGAAGAGAGAAGGCTGATTTTCAAGGTATTCTGAAGTTTTGTGATTGTAGACTTTGCGTCCCCCTCTGATAGGTTTGCTGACTTTGCAGGTGGACATCACTCTAATGACCTTTGGATGTCTTGGAACGTTTATCAAGTACATTGATAGGTAAGGCGCATTATCCGAGCTTTTGTTCCAATTACTGACTGATGATTGACGAACCGTCTAGATCCAACTTGAACACGGCGTTTGTGTCTGGAATGAAAGAGGAAATGTCACTTTACGGGAATGTTCGAACTTCTCACACGCAGGAAGCCGAGATGATCACTGTTCTGATAAGAAACAGGAACTCAATTACGCCAACACCGCGTACAGTGTTGCGAACGTAGGAATAGATCCATTGGGAGGAAATATTTTCAAGGAACGAAGTCACTGACATTTCGAAGATCATAGGACTGTGGCCTGTCAGCATTGCCCTGACTCGTTCGACCCCGAGATACTTCATACCGTAGGTATGCACTCGACATATTTTCCTCTCTGCCCAGTACTAATACGGCGTTCAATCAGACTCATGGAAACAGGATGGACCATATGGTAAGAGTATTCCACTTCAGCCTGGCAGGCTCTAACAATGAGCAGCACTCTGGGTCAAGCCTTCATGCGTACTCCGCTGCAAATGTACGTCATGAGATTCTTGTTGGGTCTTTTTGAAACGTGAGTCCCACTCCTCAATCGACGGCAAGATATTTTCAACACTGCTGACTGGGGCAAGTGGTCATTGGTCCTCAAGTAAGTAAAGCCTTTGGCCATGGACGTGGCAGTAGGTCTGACCTGCTACATAGTCATCTACCTATGCGGTGCATGGTATCAGAAACGAGAACTATCCCGCGTACGTCGAACTGCCAGTGTAACAGCACCCGACGGTCTGAACTGACACCGAGGCTAGAGAATCGCAATCATGAACTGTGCCACATCAATCGGCCCCATGTTTAGTTCGTACCTCCAAGCGGCGGCATACACGGGACTGAATGGTGTTCACGGCCTCTCAGGCTGGAGATGGGTTAGCGCTATAGAAGACAAGGCGGACAAAACTCAGAATGGATGCTAACTCGGGTCTCAGCTTTTTATCATTGACACTGTCATTTCCGTCGGAATCATCATCCCACAATTCTTCTTCTACCCGGATGTCCCGGCGAGACAGCAGCCAAGCATTGTCTTCAGCGAAGCCGTAAGCCAGCGATTCTTTTTCACGTCCTCTTTACTTCTAAGTCTACCTTTTAAGAAGATGCTGACGAGCGTCTTTGACAGGAGATAGAGCTCGCTCGAGACCGCAACCCAAAGGAAGGCCGCGTCAAACAGGGAGCCTTTACCTGGGCCCAAGCCAAGCGCTGTGTCACGACCCCGGATATTTTCCTTTTGTGGCTGATTTCCGTGTGAGTTTCAGGTTTCCCTTGCTTGGCACGACAACCAATGGAAGGGTTGCATGGCTAACCGAATCTCCTTCCTAGTTGCAACTCCGTCGCTCATTTGCCCTCCGACTCCATGGCGTTCTGGTTCAAGGCCTGGAACACCGTCAAACCGGGCTCCTATACCGTCCCACAGATAAGTAAGCTATTTTCTCCACGAGGAAATCTCAAGTCAAGTACCTGACGAAAGCAGACAACTACACCACTCCTCTCGGAGGCGTGACCGTGATCCTCACGCTCGTGTTTGCCTGGTCCAGTAAGTTTAACATAGATCACTCTACTAGTTCTCACGACTCATTATTGTTTTTCCAGGTGACACTTGGTTGAAGGGCCGTCGCTGGCCAATGTTGGTGGTCGGCGGTGTGGTCACCGGCATAGTTTGCATTCTACTGGCCGCCACGCCCGTCTTCCCCCAAAACGAAGCCTTCAGATGGTTTCTTTACTACAACACAAACTGGGCATTCGCTGCCAACACCATGTTTTGGTCCTGGACACAAGACACACTGTGAGCACCTCTGAAGCCGACGAAGCGGTCTGAGCTGATCATGATGGGGAAAATAGCTCCGGGGATCCCTTGACTAGATCTTTTGCAAGCGCCGGGCTGAATGTATGCAGTTGGACGACTATAGCCGTGGTGTAGGTGCCCCCATCCTGTCATTCATGGCGCGTGAGTACACTACTGACAAGACGCCTACAGACCCCTGTTCGCTTTTAAAACGGTCGATCAACCTGCGGTTGTCGGCGGCAACTGGGGCGCGGCGGGGATGGCGTTTCTCTATGCGATCGCCGCCCTCACGCTTGCTCACATTCAGTACAAGCGGGAGAACAAGAGTCTGGAGGCCGAGGTGGAGACGAGCAGCACGGAACACAGTGGCTGACACTGCTTAATGCTGTCCATGTCTTCTCAAGTAGTTGCTGAGTGGGATTGACCTGAATCCTAGGTTTTGAGACCTGGTAGGCTTATTTAGTCATTTTGGGTAGAGCCTCCATACTTGGACCACACTGCAAATGCGGCTGTTGCTACAGAAGAGATCCAGAGGCAAACCAAGGAAGATTTCCTTAGCCCATAGATCGGTCTCGAGGGCACAAGGTAACGGCAACGAATGGAAAATCTCGTCTCCACAGGTTGGCGCACATACACTGGCCACCGTTCGTCTGTTCTTGCGACGGCGGATACAGCGACCATGGCTTTGCGGGGTCTTGGAGACAGGGCTACTGTAGGTGTTTAGTGCAGGCTAGGTAGACTGAAGAAAGAATGATGAGAGAGATTGACGGACGGATTTATTGGTCGTCTGGTTGTCAGCTGTCTTTGGGAATTGTCTTACGATGTGGAGGTATGCGAGGAAATGCAGAACTCCTTATCAAAAGTGTTGGGAACGTCTGCTCGTGCAAGGAAGACAGTGAAGCGCCTGGAATGTGTAATTCGAGTGTTGGTGCTCACGCAGAGACAGGTATTTGCGAGTCGTTTGAGCTTGACTATCAGCTGCGAAGGTTGCATGGACAGCTTCGTCTGAAAACATCTGTGATGGAGAAAGGCAATGAGCGCGGGATATGCAGAGCACACGCTTGACAAACAAGTCCATACTTTGTCTACTTGGGCCGCCAAACGCAGCAATAGGAGGCAAGGACGAAGATGGAGGAGATTACAGTCAAGTGATGATGGTGTCTTGACGGGAGCACATCGTTCCGCAACTCAAGTTTGTATGGGAGACACGGGTTTCGTCGAGTGTACGATCCAAATGATTGATGCCCTCAGCCAGAAGAGCTGGGTTCTCGCCCTGCTATCGTGGCGCAAAGAAGCAGAGCTGTCGAAGGTGGATACACGAGACGTCGGGAGTCTTGAAACGCTTTACTAAGGGCATTGATTCGCATTCCTGATGATCTTCGTGGGGAGACGGCAGCTCTCAACCTAGTCTGGCTCGTCGAGGGCCAGGAGGGTTTCTCGGGTGGATTGGTTGAGTTCGTCGATGCTCAGGAAAGAGGGGCACTGGTTATCGGTCGGTTCTCGCCGGAGGTTGATATTAGAAGGTGTCGTCTCGGATTGTCGAGTGAATTGGATCAAGGTGTCGATGCGCTTGCAAGGGAGATGGGATCTCAACCTGTGCTCGTGGAAGAGGGATTGTCGGGAGTATTGATTCGAGTTGACAAGATGCCTGCATGATGAGTGTTCCCGATGGCGGGAGTGTCAGTAGGAGACAGAAGAAGCAAAGAAAACAAAGGAAAGGTACTTTGGCCAAGGCTCCTTGTTGATGGCACGAGACAGCGGCAATAAAGGGGGAAAAGTCGCGGCGGGGGGTGCAGCGAACATGGTCGGCATCTGCATTTGTGCCTCCCGGAGTGACAGGGCTGATGTAGTTGTTTCGCACGGAAAGAAGAGGGAACGATGTGAAAGATTGATGGGATGAGAGGGACTCGGACGACGCTGAGGTTCGCCCCGGTGGAGGTTGGAATTCGATGGAGAGGCCCGGGCAGGTACATGGGCAAGGCGCCTGCCATGTCACTTACCTGTCAAGCATGGTCCAAAAGTAGGAGCGCATCGAACGGGGCCGAGTGGGCTGCATGCAAAAAGAGTTTCTGGGAAGGCACAAAGAGGGGAATGGTGACTCAGGCAGGTAGGTAGGTCCTCAACCCAAGATCAACAGGAAGGAAGGTGGGGGAGGGGGGGACAGGTGCAGTATCGGCAGGCACGATGGCCAAAATCACAATGTACTGGAGCTTCGCGGGGCGGACGAGTCAACCTCATCCACTGGACGTCTTTTGAAGCGCTCGAGGCTGTCGGCAAACCCGATTACACCGTTCAGCCCCCTCAAAAGCTCTTCGAGTTCATCTTTGCTGGATCCTTGCAATAGTGCCTTGGTTTTGGCACTTGAGTTCCTCGCCGCCCCCTTGGCCTTGACTTTGGTAGAATCATTTTCGCCCCCTCTCCCGCGGACCCCCGTGCCACTAAGACGGCAGCCCAAGTCTCGAAACTATCCGAAGAACCCTTGCGCGCGGTCGGCGAATCAAAGGACATGTTTAGATATCTCGCTGGCCCCAGCCATTGCCGTTCGGGGGGATCGAGACCCAAGCTTTCGGATTGCTGCTGCGGCTGTATATTCCGACGCGGTGGGCAGTCTCTCGTCATTTTTTGGAGACAGCTCGCAAAACCCGTGCACTCTTTGCCGAGAACTTCGCAGGAAACAACCATCTTCAAGCACATCAGCCTTGCACCCACCCCCTTGGCTCACAACACTCCTTCCGCCGTCGCGATGATGCTTGCTGTAATATTCCGATGCACTCCGCGTCACATTCGCAATGTCGTCATGTCCCCTTCTCACCGTATTACATACCATCCCCAGGTGTTCTTGCTTCCCAAGGTTGTCTGCTGTGCGCCAGTTGTCGAGGCATTGAAATATTTCTCGGATGGTGGCATTCAGACATGAATGTCCAAGCTTGCAATGCTACTACTCCCAAAACAATGGTGCGAATGATGCTCGACATCTGCCAAGTGACAGCTGCGTCGCCAACTTTGAGAGCTCTTGACACATCATACGCACGTAAACCTCTTGCAGTTCTCTGGGTTGTGCTCCCGACGGACCACCTCGAAAAAGACGACCACGACCTTTTGCGAAACAACTAATCTGCTCCCAGAGTCTGCAGCAAAGAACTGGGTTGACCGCATGGTACTTCACGGGACTGAGGAGAACAAGGTTGCATAAATAATGGCGGACGCGTAAGAACACCATTGTTTCGCTGGCTGGCAGAATGAGCGTCGTTGATCTAGGATCGAGTGGCAGGGACTGGATGTTGTGCTTGAGTGACACTCTCGATGGCGGCCTGCCTCTTCTCGGATCCATTCTGTTCTCTATTTGCCAAATTAATGCCGCCGTTGCAGGTTTTGCTCGACTGATTTATCTGATATGGCCACATGCTTGCGTTCAAGCTCGGTCCTGGCATTCTTGCTGTCAGCAAGGGTGACAGAGCAAGCGCAGGAGATGACGTCCCAGGTCGACAGGGGGGGTCCAGAAGCAGAGACTCGATCCCATCTCATTGAATTTGGTCCATCATTTCAACGTCTCGAACCGGCATGGCACTCCAAAAGTATGCCTTTCGGGTCTCTGAATAAACGCGAGCGGCTTGGCTTGATCACCAGCCAGCGCGGCAGACGACATCTTTGATCTAGTACTCCCAGAGGATCTTCCCATCGAACGGTTCAATCCTTCTTCCCTTCTAACTTTTCCTTCGCAGTTTGAACGCTTCCATTTGGCGCTTCGAGTCTTGATTTCTTCGGCTTGGAGGAAAACAAACATTCTCAGGGGAGTCAAAAGTGTTCACTAGTTCTATCGTTATTTGAGTCGGCAGCTGAATGTCGACTTGGAATACAGTGAAGGTGAAAGGTTCTTGATTCATCTGCAAAAGAAGTATTCTAGCCAACCCACAATCTGAAGCCCGCACCTCAACGCAATGCGAGAGAATCAACACGATACCAAAAAAGCTAGCAATCTGCTTGAATGCGTATCATCTGGGACTGTTTCACTGCGACTTGGCTAGACGCGAGCCGGGCAGAGCCGTGTCCTGCGACAAGTTCCCACCAAGTCGCTGAACCGATGGTCTGACCACCCATCTTCCCTGCGACAGCCCAGGATGCTAGCTTCAGCAATACGGCGCAGCTCCATTGTAACCCTTATCATGTTCGGCGTGGGTATCGTACGGGATCTTGAGTCTGGACGCCAAGAGAGTAGGCCTATTACCAAGGCTTGAAGGTTGCGCTCCGAAAAGAGACTGCTGAGCTGGTGCACCGTCATGCTGTGAATGGCGTGGACAAGAGCCAACCCACGTTTTGCACCCAAGAAGTCCAAATTGATGGGGGTATATGAAGAGAGCGCGAATCGCCTCGATTACAGGGGGCAGGCATCTCCGTCTTCACACTACCACAACCCGTTACACCAAAATGCTAAGGCAATACTACATTCACTACCTCTGTGACCGCTACCCCAAGAGCGGTGACAGCCTCCTCTGTGAGCCATCCTGGCCCTCGAAGTTTTCCCCGTGAGAGTCATACGGCAGTCAACAAGGTGGGCCTCCAGGCGACAAAATGCGAAGAAGAAAAGTTAGAAGGGAAGAAAGAAGTCCAAAATGACATGTCTGTCAATTTTTCATGTCAGAGCATCATCTCCTTCTCATCAGGAGCCCTTCCAAGTCAAAAGGGCCGAGACAAATACGCTTCGAAATACCTGATGGCTGAAATGGTCTATTTGGACAGAGTCAAAGTGTCGTCAAGCGATCTCGCTCTCAAATTCCATCGGGCAGTGTGACAAAGGACATGCCAGACACGGAAAGCGAAGTGAGAAATCTTTCACTACAGAGCGTTTCTTTCAGGGCATGGACTTTCGAGCGCACGATTCCAATGATTTGAAATGTCTCTTCTTGAGCCTGAGTCTGATCGCGATGTTCATAAGCAAGTAAAGATCTATATGCGGCTTAGGACTCAGCTTCAGGGCAACCGGCATCCCGTATGTCTCTCTTTCAAGACCATCGAGCACGCATATGCTGCAGGCAACCCAGCATCGTTTCTTAGATTGGGTGCATGTTTATCGTGAGAGAACGGTGGCCCTATGTCTGGGTCCCGAGCAATGTCTCGGAAATGGCTTTGACAGAGCATTGGCTACTTTGAGCGGCAGACAATCTCTGTGACTGTCGGCCAAGAGATCGGAAGACTCCAAAAGATGACTGTACTGTCGCATCACCCGGGACGGGGAGATAAACAGTCTCAGGGATGACGGTTTATCATCGAACGTGATGATGTGGGTCAGCATTTCGGCATGCGTTTGTCTCACGAGAGGTGATCTTCCGTTGGCAACAAGCAGCCCAGTATCCCTCTTCTGTTCCTTCTCAGCAT